TGGAGTGTCTAGTAGTGAGTTTGCACTACAAGCAAATAAAGCGTATTGGACATGGGGAGGATGGAGGTGTGGCCTCTCTGTACTTGGATACGTGGGGGAGGAACATACTCATTAGGCATGTGCCTACGGTTGGTGGATGATCTGCCAGACCTCCTGGAGCAGAAAATTCTTCTATATGTGTTTGCTTAAAACACGGGTGTCAAACTGGCAGCCCTCCAGCTGTTGTCAAACTACAAGTCCCATGAGGCATTGCAAGATTGACAGGTACATACATGACTCCCAAAGGCAGAGGCATGATGGGACTTGTAGTTTTGCAACAGTGGAGGGCCGCCGGTTTGAGACCCCTGGCTTAAAACAAGACAAATTCTACATTTTCTTGCTGTATAAAAAAAAAAAGTCAATATCCTCTTTAGGGAGATTTCACCTCACTACTTGTCCGTTTCATAACAGGAAATCAGGATAAATCGGCTAAGCAAAATGGCCGACTGCTGCAGGTAAGTGATGGGTACACTGAGGTTTCGGTAGAACAATGAAGGTTGGTGGGGCTCCTGTCTGTTTTGTTCTTTACCTGCCTCGTCTGTCTCAATCACAGTCCTTAAAAAGGGAAGATGCCTTATTATGTGAATTAAAAAAGATAAAGAGGTGAAAGTAAAGAATTTTTGCAAACATTCTGTGTTTTTTTTTTCTTTTCTCTCCTTAGACCAAGTTTTGTAAATGAAAAAAAAAAAAATGAACAAAGCATGTCCCTCTATAGTGTGTACGTATCTCAATCCAGAGCACCAAGTGACATTTCTCTCTTCTGCCTCCTTCCTCTATCAATACCAGTCACACCTGACAAGTTTTCCTGACAGAAAATTGGTGGCGGGGAAGGGAATATATTTAAAACAATTATATATTTTTAAAAATATTTTTCATATATTTTAGAATATATAAAAAACACATTTCAACATGCAGTTTATATATAATTTTTATTATTTTTTTAATACGGCCAAAATTGTAGCATTTCAAATATGTGTCAATATATTTGGGAAGGATATTTTAAAAATATTTTTCTTCCATATTGGCCTTGTCACAGATTAATTCCCCCCTTGTGACTGAGGCCTAATCCTCTCTCACAACTCCCTGTCCAATGTTATCTTTAATCATTGCCAGTTTATAAGCCCTGATAAAGAATGATTTGCAAGCACCCCGAAATGCGTTGGTCATACTTTTTGACCAATACTGGACTCAGATTAAATTGCGTGATTAAGGCCTAGTCCTCCTGTTCACAACTACCTGTCTAATATTTTCTCTTTCATAATTGCCCGTTTATAAGCCCTGATAAATAATGATCTGTGAGCATCTGAAATGCGTTGGTCGTACTTTTTGACCAATACTGGACTCGCCCCTTGAAATTGTTTAAATTGCCCTGTCTGAAGCCTAATCCTTTTTTCCACAACTGTCCAACGTTGTCTTCAATAATTGGCAGTCTATCAACCCTGATAAAGAATGATCTGTGAGCATGTGAAACGCGTTGGAATTACTTTTCAACCTTTCTTTGTGACTAATACTGGACTTTCCCTTGCCACAGATGAAATCACCCCCGTGTAATTGAGGCCTAATCCTCTCTCACAACTCAATATTATCTGTATTAACCATTAGCCGCCCGGCCAATGGCCGTTTGGCAGCTTCAAATGTGTCCCTGCATTCCGGGTGCACGCCATTTGGCGTGCTCCCGCACATGCGCCGTTTGCGCTAATGCAGAGCGGCGCAGCAGTGCGATCTGTCACCGGCCGTGCACCTCGGACACGGCCGATGACAGATCCGAGTACCGGCTCCCGTTGCTGGTACCATGTGACCTGCTGTGACCAATCACAGCAGGTCACATGACAGTTGTATACAATGGATGGCTTCACTCATGCCATCCATTGTATACTAGTGTCTAGCTGTGAATGGTCACAGCTAATCACATGCACATGTCATGTGATTAGTTGTGACCAAATCACAGCTAAGCACAAAAAAAAAAAAAAAAAAAAAAAAGCTGAATGAATCGGTCATTCAGGTAAATGCTTGCTTATAGCAAAGTAATTCTTTGCTATAAGCAAATTGTGTAAAAAAAAAAATACTGATCACTTCCCCAAAGTAGTACAATGTTACTATAGTAACATTGTACTACTTTGGTCATAGTAAAATATGAAAAAAAAATCTTAAAAAAAATAAAAAATGTAATAAGAAATTAAATATAATAAAAAAAAAAAAAAAAAATATATATATATATATATATATATATATATATATATATATATATATAGATTTTTTCATACTGTCACCAGTCAGTGTCCCTGTTCACCGCCATGCCAGTTATATGATGACGCTGTACTGCACTGGTGACAGGATGTAAAAAAAAAAATAGTGCAAATAATTTTTTTAATTTTTTAATTTTCCGAAAAATTATGACAAAAAAATACAACTTCAAAAAACTCACCATGCCTCTTATGAAGTACGTCGGACTGTCTACTCTGCAAAAAGGGGTCATTTGGGGGATATCTGTACCGTCCTGACATTTGGGGGGATATCTGTACTGTCCTGACATTTGGGGGGATATCTGTACCGTCCTGACATTTGGGGGATATCTGTACTGTCCTGACATTTGGGGGGATATCTGTACCGTCCTGACATTTGGGGGATATCTGTACTGTTCTGACATTCTTGGACCTCAAGAAATTAGATTGGCCGTCAGTACTTCAGGATTGATCAATATTCAGATCTATACCATAGTTTGTGAACTCTATAACTTTCCTACAAACTAAATAATACATCCTAATTTGGGTTATTGTCACCAAAGACATGTAGCAGAATACATCTCGGCCTAAATTTATGAAGAACAATTATTTATTTGTAAACTTTTATAACAGAAAAAGAAAAATGTGGGTTTTTTTCAAAATTTTTGGTCTTTTTTTGTTAATTTAGCAAAAAATAAAAACCCCAGCGGTGATTAAATACCACCAAAAGAAAGCTCTAGTTGTGTGAAGAAAATGATAAAATTTTAGTTTGGGTACAATGTTGTATGACCGCGCAATTGTCATTCAAAGTGTGAGAGCGCTGAAACCTGGAAAATGGCCTGGGCAGGAAGGGGTAAAATTGCCCGGTATTGAAACGGTTAAATTGCCAGTTGATAAGCCCTGATAAAGAGTGATCTGTGAGCATCCGAAACGTGTTGGTAAAACTTTTTGACCTTTGCGACCAGTTCTGGACTCATCCTTGGAATAAACTGCCCTGTGTGAACGAGGCTTTATGCAATTAGGCTGGCAGACAGGCAACGTGGGGGGACTTGTAAGCCACCGAAACGCGTTGGAGGTACCTTCTGACCTTTCCATAACTAACAAACGTTTGCTGGATCTATCCTTGATTGGTGGAGTTCTCACCATTTTATATATACTCTCCAGACCGCTCTGAGGTCTCCCAGGCACACCCCAGCTCAGGGGTGGGCAAACTGCGGCTCTCCAGCTGTTGCAGGACTACAAGTTCCATCATGCCTCTGCAAGTTATAGCTGTAACTGTTTTGTAATCTTTGCAATGCCTCATGGGAAATGTAGTTCCACAACAGCTGGAGAGCCTCAGTTTGCCCACCCCTGCCCCAGCTGACAGAGGAAAACTCAGCGTTCACCTCCATACACATCTGGGTCCAGCGCCCGACCAACTACATCACACTGGATCTCTTAGAATTTGGATTCCAACGGGATATCTTCCCATTTTTCCGACTCCTCAGGAATATCCCAGGTAACGGAACGCGATGATTAATCTTTTATATAAAGTTTTATTATTTTTTTTTTGTCTCCCAATATAAAGTTTAACTGAAAAGATACAAATGGTGACAACCTGGGAAAGGTGAACGGTCCCCCGGAATGTCCGTAATCCTTACAGCCAGTCAATGGCCAATTGGTTGCTGTTGATCTGCCACCACCCTCATCCACCAAGTTGTTGACCCGAAACCTCTGTGGCAGCTTCCATCAGAGCCCAGGCACACAGGTACCGTCCCTTTAAAGCTGCTTGTGCTTTCCAGTGGTTCCGTGAGAGCTGCCATCGCCGACTTGCTTTTAAAGGTGCGATCCTTCAGGGAATTCATCCTTGACCAAGATCTCACTACCCCAGTGGCGTCCCGAGGCAGGTGGGGGGGCAGACTGACCATTTGGAAACTTGAGCACTGCCCGAGGGCCCGGGGTCAGTAGGGGGCCCCATGAGATGCCCCTGGTACCTTTTCATAGGCTTTTTTTGAGTGTGGGCAAGGGCACAGGGGCCCCATGATCCCCTATTGCCCGGGGGCCCCATGGGTTGTCAGTCCGCCCCTGCACCGGACCCGCTCCACGAAAAGGAAAGTTCTCAAGCAAGCCGACAATCCCTGTAGGATGGATCTGATCTGCGGATTGAGCATACTGGATCGGAGTCCAATCCATTATGCTCCCCAATCTGTAGATCAGATCCATCCTGCGGGGATTGTCGGCTTTCTTTACAACTTGCCTTTTCGTGGAGCGGGTCCGGTGTCACCCCGTATAGGTTGCATGCCGACGATCCCCGCAGGATGGATCGGATCTACGGATTGGGGAGGATAATGGATCAGAGTCCGATCCATTATGCTCAATCTGCAGATCCGATCCATTCTGCGGGGATCGTCGGAGGGGGTGTCACCAAGTGTTACCGCACCGGGTGACACCAACTCTAGGGACGCCTCTGCACTACCCAATAGGTCGCTGGCCTAGAACAAGTACGCATCCAGTGAAGTCTGAAAAGACTCCTATACTGTAGGCAAGTTCCATATCAGTGACTCACTAGGAAGCAGCCCCAGGCGTGGCACCTCTACAAACGAGTCAGCAGAGGCAGCTCATGTGTTGGTATCGATCACCGTTGATCAGTCCCGGGCAAATCGATGATCTGCAGACGTCTTCTGCCCGATCAATGTGACATCCGGTGCAGCACAGACAGTCCAGTCCCCGCAGTGCCATGCGGATGAGATTCCGGAGTCGCTAAGTCTTTTTCCGTTTTGTCGGAGGAGCACTGGGGAGAATCCCGTTGTTTTTGCCATCCTCTTCATCACTGTCATCATCCTCTTCATCACTTTCATCATCATCATCCTCCTCCTCTTCATCATCATCCTCCTCCTCCTCTTCTACACCTTTAAAGTAAGACAGAACATCGGTATCCGGCACTTCATATATAGAGGAGGAGCTGAGCTCTACAAGCTGTGCCAAAAAAAGACAAGCCGAGGACTAATCACTAGAACTGGTGTGATCTCCCTGCTGCTGATCTCCTCATTACTGACCTACCATGCCCTTGTTCTGTGCTGTGTCTCTGCATGAAGGCAGCCATCTTGGTAGAAGCAGAAGGGTTACTACTGAGCGAGGGATCAGCAGAGCTGGGGGTTACTACTGAGCGGGGGATCAGCAAAGCTGGGGGTTACTACTGAGCGGGGGATCAGCAAAGCTGGGGGTTACTACTGAGCGGGGGATCAGCAAAGCTGGGGGTTACTACTGAGCGGGGGATCAGCAAAACTGGGGGTTACTACTGAGCGAGGGGATCAGCAGAGCTGGGGGTTACTACTGAGCGGGGGGATCAGCAGAGCTGGGGGTTACTACTGAGCGGGGGATCAGCAGAGCTAGAAGTTACTACTGAGCGGGGGATCAGCAGAGCTGGGGGTTACTACTGAGCGGGGGATCAGCAGAGCTGGGGGTTACTACTGAGCCGGGGATCAGCAGAGCTGGGGGTACTACAGAGCGAGGGATCAGCACAGCTGGGGGTACTACTGAGCGGGGGATCAGCAGAGCTGGGGGTACTACTGAGCGGGGGATCAGCAAAGCTGGGGGTTACTACTGAGCGAGGGGATTAGCAGAGCTGGCGGTTACTACTGAGCGGGGGATCAGCAGAGCTGGGGGTACTACTGAGCGGGGGATCAGCAGAGCTGGGGGGTACTACTGAGCGGGGGATCAGCAGAGCTGGGGGTACTACTGAGCGGGGGATCAGCAGAGCTGGGGGGTACTACTGAGCGGGGGATCAGCAGAGCTGGGGGTACTACAGAGTGAGGGATCAGCAGAGCTGGGGGTACTACAGAGTGAGGGATCAGCACAGCTGGGGGTACTACTGAGTGAGGGATCAGCAGAGCTGGGGGTACTACTGAGCAAAATTATGTATAAACAAATACATAAAAATAACAATAAATAATATATATAATTACATAAAATATACATAAAAATAAAATGAATAAAAAAATACTATAAAAGGTAATAATGTAGTAATAATAACATGCACGGATCTGGGTTATTTTTACCAGAGAAATGGAGCAGAATACGGGACACGTCCCTGGAATGGGGTTATACCTCCTAGTATATACAATTAAAGGGCATGTACACCCCGCAGTGATCTCCTCACATCCGCTCCGGATTGGTCAGTTACATGTCCCTCCCGAAGCATTTTGTTATATTTGCTCAATAACTATAGAGGATCCTGCCAGAAATGCGGAGCTCGGCTCACTTCCGGTGCAGAGACACTGTGCCCCGTGCTCCGGGGTGATGGCCTCTGATTGGTCACACACCTGTGTCGGAAGCTCCGCCCTTCTCCTGCTCCACGAGTCGGCTCAGCTCCTTGGACACCTCCCCCTGTAGCCGCTCCAGTCCGCCCAGCAGCCCCCGCAGAGTCCGCTCACAGTTCACCCGGAACGGGCGCCGCCCGCCGTCCCTGCCCGTCAGCTCCGCGCTCACCTCCATGCTGACACGCTTCGTGACGTCACCGGTAGGCGACCCGAGGCGCCAACTTAGAGTCTGACGGAAGCGCTCGCCGGTTGCCGTCACGGAGGGCCGGAAGTCGTCGTCTCAGCCAACCAGCTTCGACCACTTCCGCCCGCCGGCCCCGGAAGGGAACTCTTTTTTTCTTTCTATTTTGCGGGATGGCGGCAAGTGGAGAGGAGAGACCGGGAGAGAAGAGAAGCGCCGAGGAGGAGCCGGTCCTGTCCCTGCTGGACGTGCTGGAGGAGGACGAGGCTCTGCAGGACGAGGCGTGTGCTGTGCTGGGGGGCAGCGACGCCGAGAAGTGCTCATTCCCGCAGGTACCCACCTATCCCATCCCCCACCACAGGAGAGGTGCTCATACCTGCAGGTACCTACCTATCCCATCCTCCACCACAGGAGAGGTGCTCATACCTGCAGGTACCTACCTACTCCATCCCCCACCACAGGAGAGGTACTCATACCTGCAGGTACCTACCTGCTCTATCCCCCACCACAGGAGAGGTGCTCATACCTGCAGGAACCTACCTATCCCATCCCCCACCACAGGAGAGGTGCTCATACCTGCAGGTACCTACCTGCTCTATCCCCCACCACAGGAGAGGTGCTCATACCCGCAGATACCTACTCCATCCCCCACCACAGGAGAGGTGCTCATACCCGCAGATACCTACTCCATCCCCCACCACAGGAGAGGTGCTTATATCTTCAGGTACCTACCTATATATACGGCTCAAAAAAATGAAAGGAAGACTTTGAAAACCCATCAGATCTCAATGGGGAGGAATCTCCTTCTGGATCTCTATACTGACATTGACAGGGGATGGGTGAGGAATGTAAGGACGCCCCATCGTTTGATGGAAACGATCGACCTACAGAGGACTGAATTCAGAGACACCCCGAAAATCAAAGTGAAGAAATGATGCAGCAGGCGAGTCCATGTTGGTGAAATGTCATTGCAGCAACTCAGAATGGTCCTCAGTAGTCTGTGTGGCCCCCACGTCTTGTATGTATGCCTGACAACATCGGGGGAGGCTCCTAATGAGACCACGGATGGTGTCCTGGGGGATTTCCTCCCAGATCTGGACCAGGACATCACTGAGCTCCTGGACAGTCTGAGGTGCAACCTGGCGGCGTCAGATGGATTGAAACATAACATCCCAGAGGTGTGCTATTGGATTTAGGTCAGGCAAGCGTGGAGGCCATTCAATGGTATCAATTCCTTCATCCTCCAGGAACTGCCTGCATACTCTCCCCACATGAGGCCGGGCATTGTCATGCACCAGGAGGAACCCAGGACCCCCCCGCACCAGGAGGAACCCAGGACCCACTGCACCAGGAGGAACCCAGGACCCCACTGCATCAGCGTAGGGTCTGACAATGGGTCCAAGGATTTCAACCCAATACCTGATGACAGTCAGGGTGCCATTGTCTGGCCTGTAGAGGTCTGTATGTCAACCTATTTATTTAATTTGGGTACCGCGTTGAACGACCTCAAAATTATCATTTTAAAGCAGTGCAACGCTAAATAGCAAAAAATGGCCTGGTCATGAGGGGGGAGGGGGGCTGAAGTGGATTAGATCTCTGCCACAGAAAGTACCCCTCTGGACTGCCCTCCTCCTCTCCTGACAATCTGATTTTATCTGTCTGTATTCTGTCCTTGCAGGGCTATGTGAAGAGGCAAGCTCTGTACGCCTGCAATACCTGCACCCCGGATAAAGAGGAGCCGGCCGGGATATGTCTGGCCTGTACATACAAGTGTCATGAAGGCCACGACCTGTTCGAGTTGTACACAAAGAGGTACCCCCCCCCCCATTCTATATAATGGAAGTCTTTTACTTCCCCTCTGTCCTCCCTGTGTGTAATTAACATTTTTTTTTTCTTTTTGCAGGAACTTTCGCTGCGATTGCGGAAACGCCAAATTTAAACAGCTGGAGTGCAAATTATATCCCGTACGTACAGAGCTTTATAATGGTGTCAGGCACCTGTTCTATCAAGGCTTGACCAATTGGCTTTGATTCTATGAGCCAGCTAAAAAGTTAATGCGGAGCTCCACCCAAAAGGGGAAGTTCCGCTTTAAGGACTGGTCCCCCGCTCCCCATTAAGGATTGGCACCTTTGGGGAGCGGGTACCCAAATTTGATAGGTACCCTCTCCCACTTCCGGTCCGATTGCCTAGGCCAGGGGTAGGCAACCTATGGCTCTCTAGCTGTTGTGGAACTACATTTCCCAGGAGGCATTGCAAAGATTACAAAACTGACAATTACAGCTATGACTTGCAGAGGCATGATGGAACTTGTAGTCCTGCGGCTCTCAGGTTGCCTACCCCTGGCCTAGGCGATCGGAAGCGGAAGGTGTCCTCCCTCCTGTAGTCTTTTGGGACATGTGACAGGTCCCAGAAGACTACAGGACCATTCATGAAGCGCAGAGCTGCTCGCGCATGCGCAGTGGGTACCTGGCTGTGAAGCCGCAAGCTATCACAGCCGGGTGCCCACACTGAAGATGCCGGCCTCCTGGAATACAAGACGGCTGGTGAAACGAGCTGAGCGGGGGACACCGAGGGACAGGTAAGTGGCTGTTTTTTAAAAATTTCAGCAGTTTTTGTAGCTGCTTACTTTTATTTTTTTTGATAGGTTGAGTGGAACTCCGCTTTAAGAGAAGTGGTTTTTTTTTTCTTAAGCATGGGTTTTCAGTACCCCAGGGCAAGGCAACTTTTTGGGCGACATGCTTCACGAGTTGCGATTTGCAGCGTGACAAGGCAAAAATGTACCATTGAAAATAATGGCGCCTGAACCTGCGTTTTGCAATCACACTGATTCTGCCCTCCAGCTGTTGCCAAACTACAAGTCCCATGAGGCATTGCAAGACTGACAGTTACAAGCATGACTCCCAAAGGTAGAGGCATGATGGAACTTGTAGTTTGCAACAGCTGGAGGGCCGTCAGTTTGACCCCCCCCCCCCCCCCCCCCCCCCGCTATAAGGTATGCACAACTGAAATCTGGTGGGGGGGGATCCATCTATGCGGCATTTGGCTGGCGCTAGCTAGCGGGATTCTCTGCATGTTCCACCAGTGCTATTGCAAACACTGCACCTGAACCAGCCACTTCCACCCCCCCCGCACAGCCCAGTGAGCACTGGGGGGCCGAGCAGTGTCAGTCATCGGTTCTCTGCAGACTGAAGACAGAGAACTGAGAGCTTTGATTGATCAGTTCTCGGTGTTAGAAGCGGCGGTGCACAGATGCAGCATACACCTAGGTGAGTATATTGTTTTCACAAATCCGAATTTCTCTCTTAGGATCCTGTATGGAATGGAGGAGTCAATCATTGTAATCGGTTTTGTCTTCCAGGATAAGGAGAAGAACAATGTGGCTAATAACTACAATGACAATTTCTTCGGTCTGTACTGCACATGTAAGAGACCGTATCCCGATCCTGAGGACGAGGTGAGCCCATTTCCAGGTTCTTACACTGTGGAAAGAAGTTTTATCTGCTTATATTTTGCCTTTTTTTTTTTTTCTCCTAATATACAGTATTTGCAGATCAAAATTCAGTTTTAAAGTGGATTGTAAAGGTTCAAGGTTTTTTTTACCTTCAAGAATTCTGTGTTTAGCTCTCCCCCTCAGCCTCCCCCAATACTCACCAGAGCCCCATCCATTGATGTGCAAGAGAGCAGAAGCTCTCCCGGGTCTCTGCCTTCTCATTGGCTGAGGCATAGCAGATCATACCATGTACCACATACTCATTCATATGGGGGGGAGGGGGGGGCCAGGATCTGGGGCCCCCTTGCTAAAGGTGGCTTCCAGATTCCGATAAGCCCACAGACCCCCCACAACCACAGCCCAGGGTTGTGGGGAAGAGGCCTTTGTCCCCATCAACATGGGGACAAGGTGCTTCGGAGGGGGGGAGCCCCCCCTCATGTTGAGGGCATGTGGCCTGGTGTGGGGGGGTGTGGGCGTGCTCGCACCTCCCCCCCCCTTTCCTGACCTGCCGAGCTGCATAATTTTAAAAAAAGTTGTGGGATCCCCCCTCCCATCCATACCAATCCCTTTGGGTCTGGTATGGATTTTGGGGGGGAACCCCACGCCATTTTACTTTCTATGTTTTGGCATGGGGCTTCCCCTCAAAATCCATACCAGACCCAAAGGGCTTGGTATGGATGGGAGGGGGGATCCCACAACGTTTTTTTTTAATTGCCGGCAATTCTTTCTTTTACATTCAGTTGTCAGTGGGGAATCCCGCTTACATCTGAAACATGATGCATGCTTTTCTCTACGAAAATACCGCATGACTTGATAAAATCACTCCTGCAGTATTTTAGTAGCCTTTTTTTAGTGAATTTACTATTTTTCTGGGCATTTGGGAGGGCCTCCTGCTAAAAACGCTTGTAAACGCAAACGTGCATAAACGCGGTATTCAAAGGCGGATAAACTGACGTTTTATAACCTACGCTTTCCAGCTGTCAGTTTCCATCGTTCAGAAGAGTTTTCCAAACGCCCCGTGTACATGAGCCCTATGACACACACACACACGATACATTGAGTCAGATTGGCGACAGACGAGAGAAATGCGTATCAGTCCAATGTGAAGAGTAACCACAACAGTAACAAAGGCATAGCCCCGGGCGCCAAGGCCTAGGGGACAAGGGGTGTATAGTGCGGGAACACATTTCAGAATATATTCAACAGTATTCTAAAGATTGGAGGAAATGGTCGGCTAACAGAGGGCGTGTCGAGGAGAAAGACAGGAGAAGAATAAAAGGGAGGAAAAAAAAAGGGGGGGGGGTACTAGTACGGAGCAATAAAAAAATGAGGGTGATCAGGGGTGGCATACCCGCTCCACCATGGCTACACCAGAGAGGGGTCCGCTCCACCGGCAGCCCAGGAATGAAATTCGGAGGAGTAGTGGAACAAGGTCCAAGGGGTCCAGATAGAAGAGAACAGATCCATTTTTTCCGATTCCCGCGCCAACTGACGTTCAAGGTCATGGATAGAGTCCAGCTCATTAACCCACTCTCCCAAGGAGGGCACAGAAGTGGACTTCCAGTGGCAGGGGATAACTGCCCGGGTAGTGGCCACCAGTGGTCTCAAGATATCTCGTTTTCACTGATTTGATTGATCCAGGTAGTAGAGAAAGATGAGCCAGCTCCAGGGATGGAAGAACCGATGTTGTCATCAGTTTACAATATAGGCCAAAAAAAGATTGCCAGACTTTCCGGATAGACGGACAGGACCACCAGATATGAAGTATGGTACCACGTGAGCTTTGACAGCGCCAGCAAACATCGGGGATTGAAGGGTCGAAGCGGTGAAGAAGCGATGGGCATCTGTACCATCTGGTTGGCAGTTTGAAGCCGTTTTCCTAGGGGTCCAGATAGAAGAGAACAGATCCATGTTTTCTGATTCCCGCGCCAACAGACGTTCAAGGACATGGATAGAGTCCAACTCATTAACCCATTCTCCCAAGGAGGGCACAGAAGTGGACTTCCAGTGACGGTTGATAACTGCCCGGGTAGCGGCCACCAGTGGTCTCGAGATCTTGTTTTCACTGATTTGATTCATCCAGGTAGTAGAGAAGGAAGAGCCAGCTCCGGGGATGGAAGAACTGAAGTTGTCATCCGTTCTCAATACAGGCCAAAAACAGATTGCCAGAATTTCCGGACAGGCGGACAGGACCAACAGATATGAAGTATGCTACCCCGTGAGCTTGGACAACGCCAGCAAACGTCGGGGATTGAAGGATCGAAGCGATGGGCATCTATACCATCTGGTTGGCAGTTTGAAGCCTTTTTCCTGAGTTTTGGAAGCCGGGGATAACACGTGGGTCAGGATGAAGCATTTCTATTGGAGTTGTAGATCTATCTCCCAGGCATGGGTAGAAGGACGATCGGGGGATGATGTGCAAAGAAGGATCGAATACACTTGGGAAACCACATGGTTGAAATCCCGTTTTTACGGTAACGGTTAGGACAATTCTGTTGGTTGCAGGCTGGTTGGTAAGTGAGCTGGGAATTTCTTTGAATTTCCCTTCCATGTGATCCTTGCTGCAAAGGTCGGCTGTAGATCGGGGCAGTTGCCGACTGTTTTGTAATGTCCCAGAGCACCACGGGGCTTCACGGAGGTGCCCGAAATAGGCACAGAATGTGACACCGCCCACCTCAATGATACCGCCTCTCAGCGGACGCATATTCCTGCATTGTATTATTAGCAGTGATGACATCATGGGATTTTAAAAGCTTGATTTTTAGCAAAAGTAGGAAAAAAATTGAGTTTTTCCTGTGCTCAAGGAATAACATTTTAGAAAATATTTTTAAAGAATCCTGGAGTTCCGTTTCAAAGTGGTTGTAAAGGTGGAAGGATTTTTACTTTCATGCATTCTATTCATGAAGGTAGAAAACCTTCTGTGTACGGCAGCCCCCTCCAACTACCCGAGCGCCATCAATGTGCATGAGAGCCTCGGCTCTCCGGAGACTCTCCCTACTCATTGGCTGAGACAGCAGTGGGAGCTGTTAATCATAGCCAGTGAGCCAATGAGAGAGAGAGAGAAGGGGCAAGGCGGAGTCACAGCTCTTTGTGTGAATGGACACGCAGCGGCTCGGGATTGAACCTGCTTGGGTTCCCTATAGCAAGTTGCTTTCTCTCGGGGCACTTGGCAGGAGAGAGGGGCCAGGAGCGCCACTGGGGGATCCGAGAAGAGGAGGATCGGGGCTGCTCTGTGCCAAACCACTGCACAGAGCACATAAGTATAATATGTTGTGTATTTTAAATTATTAAATATTTTTTTTTTTTTGCCATTTAATATCTGTAGTTATGTCCATTATCAGAATACCAGAATTTATATTATCCATTTTTGTCTCCTATAGACCCCAGATGAGATGATCCAGTGTATAGTGTGTGAGGACTGGTTTCATGGCCGGGTAAGTGCTGATTTCTTTTTTTTTTTCTTTTTTTTTTTTTTTTGAGGGGGGGGGTTTTTTTTTTTTTTTTTTTTTTTTTTTTTTTGTAATATTACGCTTTGAATCACACATTTTAGAGGACTGTGTACAGCCTTTCCAGCTAAAATAATTTTAAAAAGGTGTGTGGTTTTTTTTTTATTTGTGTGGTTGTTTTTTTTTGTCTGTTTTTGTTTTGTTATTTGTTTTCTTATTGTGTTTTTAGTGTTTGTGTGTTTTTTTGTTTTATGTGTAGGTTTTTTATTTTTTTTTTTTAAATTTCTTTTTATAAGAAGGGCTTAAACTTGATTTTTCTTTGTTGCAGCACTTAGGGGCAGTTCCACCAGAGAATGTGGAGTTTCAGGAGATGGTGTGTCAGGGCTGTATGGATCGATGTTCATTTCTTTGGGCCTACTCTGCCAAGATAGGAGGTAAGAACCTCATCATACCATAGTGATGTCACCGCTCTCTAATGAATGGATAGGCTGCATTCTCAGTGATGTCACCGCTCTCTAGTGAATGGATAGGCTGCATTCTCGGTGATGTCACCGCTCTCTAGTGAATGGATAGGCTGCATTCTCGGTGATGTCACCGCTCTCTAGTGAATGGATAGGCTGCATTCTCGGTGACGTCACCGCTCTCTAGTGAATGGATAGGCTGCATTCTCGGTAATGTCACCGCTCTCTAGTGAATGGATAGGCTGCATTCTCGGTGATGTCACCGCTCTCTAGTGAATGGATAGGCTGCATTCTCGGTGATGTCACCGCTCTCTAGTGAATGGATAGGCTGCATTCTCGGTGATGTCACCGCTCTCTAGTGAATGGATAGGCTGCATTCTCGGTGATGTCACCGCTCTCTAGTGAATGGATAGGCTGCATTCTCGGTGATGTCACCGCTCTCTAGTGAATGGATTGGCTGCATTCTCGGTGATGTCACCGCTCTCTAGTGAATGGATAGGCTGCATTCTCGGTGATGTCACCGCTCTCTAGTGAATGGATGGGCTCCCTGGTCTCTAGTGAATGGATAGGCTGCATTCTTGGTGGTCTCTAGTGAATGGATAGGCTGCATTCTTGGTGGTCTCTAGTGAATGGATAGGCTGCATTCTTGGTGGTCTCTAATGAATGGATAGGCTCCCCGGTCTCTAGTGAATGGATAGGCTCCCCGGTCTCTAGTGAAGTGAATGGATAGGCTCCCCGGTCTCTAGTGAAGTGAATGGATAGGCTCCCCGGTCCTTAGTGACGTGAATGGATAGGCTCCCCGGTCTCTAGTGAAGTGAATGGATAGGCTCCCCGGTCCGTAGTGAAGTGAATGGATAGGCTCCCCGGTCCGTAGTGAAGTGAATGGATAGGCTCCCCGGTCTCTAGTGAAGTGAATGGATAGGCTCCCCGGTCTCTAGTGAAGTGAATGGATAGGCTCCCCGGTCTCTAGTGAATGGATAGGCTGCATCCAATGAATATCTTGTGTTTGCTTGCAGTTCCTGGTGTCACCAAGATTACCAAAGCAGAAACAGATCATGAAGAGGTTAAAGTTGATGACTGTCCTACAGAAACGGCCGGCAATCAGAATGGGCCAACAGTAAAAAGTGAAGAAGTGAAGGTGGAAATATCAAAGCTGCCTGAGGTGAAGGAGGACATAAAGGAGAAAGAGAAGCCAAGCTGTCCATCTACCAGCGCCAGCGGCGATCAGGTATTCCCAGCCTTCAGCAGTCTCTTCTTCCTCTAAGCAGGCCAATCTCGGAATGCCTACAGGCACTGGGATTGGCCGCTGTGCTCAGACCTCAACATTTATGACCACATTGATAAGATTTCCTGTTTCCTATTGCTTCCTATTCCTTATTCCTCTATCTTCTTGCCTGTGTCACTGGGACAGGAAATGAAGGGAACTCTCCTAAATGGAGACACCGGCCACAGTAAAATGTCAACTGAGGTTCTAAAGCTTCCATGCTCAGTCCAAATCTTAACTTTTTTTGCTGGAGTTGGGACTTTAACATTTAACCCCTCACCCTCCAGAGGATTTACCCCCCCCCCCCCCCTTCCTGACCAGGCCATTTTTTGCATTCTGGCGCTGCGTTGCTTTAACTGACAATTGCGCGGTCATGCAACACTGCACCCAAATGAAATTTACGCCCTTTTTTCCCACGAATAGAGCTTTTTTTCCGTGGTATTTGATTGCCTTTGCGTTTTTTTTTTTTTTTTTTCTTACACTAGAGAAAAAAAAAACTATATTTTGAGGAAAGAAAACATTTTTGACATTTTGCTATTAAACATGTCCAGTAAAAAAATGTTTAAATCAAATTTCGTCATAAATTTAGGCCAAAATGTATTCTGCATCATGCCTTTGCAAAAGAAAAAAAAATCCCAATACATGTAAATTAATTGGTTTGCGTGAAAGTTATAGCGTTTCCAAATAGCGGTGTGTGTGTGTATATACTGGGATTTCTCCTAGATTGTAAGCTCCAAGGAGCAGGGCCCTCGAACCCCTCGTGTATCGCATTGTATTGTTGTTGTACTGTCGCATGTTCTGTCCCCCATTGTAATGTACAGCGCTGAGCGAACTGCTGGCGCTTTATAAATACTGTATTATAATAATGATAATAGTAATTTTTTTTTTTTTTCACTAGTAACGATGGCAATCAGCGACTTATCTCATTATGGAAGAAAAATATATTTTAAAAATATTATTCCCAAACAAATTGCCATATATTTGAAATACTACAATTTTGGACATATTCAATATATTAAAAAAAAAAAAAATGTGTGTACATATGATGTATGTGTGTGTATCATGTTGAAATGCGTTTTTATTACAAAATATACGAAAAATATTGTAAAAAATACAATTCAAATATTCTGTATGTCTTTGAAAATACAAATCTCCATTTTTGGAATGCATTTACAAATATACGTTAAAATTACTTTTTTATAGGTTAAAAAAAATAAGAATATATCTAAAAAAAAAAAAAAAAAGTATTTTTAAAAATAATTTTTTTTTAAATATTCATTTTTAAAAATAATTTTTTTTTTTTTTTAAATCTGATTTTTTTTTTTTTTTTTTTTTTTTTTTTTTTTGCATGCAATACAGTTCTCTCCCTCTGTCAGTAATGCTCCTCAATCACCGGGTGCCAGCAAGAAATCACTGGCTGGGACCTGGTGATTGACAGCCGAGGCCCGCGGGTAGGGCGTGCTGCACACGTGCGCCGCCTACCCGGAAATGCAAAATCACGTGTGTATATGTATGTGTATATGTGTGTATGTATGTATGTGTGTGTGTATATATGTATGTATATATGTATATATATATATATATATATATATATATATATATATGTGATTTTGCGCACCCGTGCCGCCCTATAGCAATATTACTGCTATAGGGCAAACAGGAAGCGGTTAAATACCCGCTAAAGGAGCATAATTACCTTCTGTACTGAGATCTTACAATGCCAAGAAATCAGCACTGAAAACAGCAACCGATCTGCAGATTTTTATACACAGGAGCTGGTGTGTTCGGTTTGGTTTATCGGCTTTATTCTTTTTCTTTCCAGAAATATTGTAACGGGGAAAACGTCTCAGGCTTCAAAGACGGGAATAAAACCCCACATTGTGTGCAGACTTGAAGAATACGGAAAGGTCCAGGGGCCCGCCACCAACACTGCCACCTACTGGCCAAACAACTGGCGCAGTCAACTCTGCAGATGTGCTGAATGCATGGTATACCCAAATGTTTTATAGATGCACCCTGAATGCTGAAGAAAAAAAAAAAAATGTATGGTTGTCATCACTAATTTGTCTCAGCTGGGGTTTCTTGACTTCCAGGTCTCTTTCTCAATTTTTTTTTCTTTTTAATATGTAAATTCTATTTTTTTTTTAGAATTATTATTATTAGTTAGAACCCCAAACATATATATATTTTTTAAAGCGGAGGTCCTGGAGAGTAAAATAGTGGGCTTTGCAAGTTTTTATGTCAGTATTTGTGCAGTGGCTTTTCAAACGCAATTTTTTTGGGGAAAAAAATACTTTTTTTTTTTTTTTTTTTTTTTTAATGCAAAAAAACACAAGACACTACTTTTTTTTTTTTTTTTTTTTTTTTTTTTTTTTTTTTATGTGTGTAAATTATAAAATCTGTTATGCTGAATAAATGGATGCCAAACATGCTTTAAAATAGCGCACACCCATGCAGTGGTGACAAACGATGTAAATTTTGCTGACGCTTTTAAAAGCCCTTACAGATTACTACTTTAGAGGAGGTCTAGCGCTACTGCCCACAATCTGACATTTGCGGTGGTACCTGACATGTGGGACAATCTCGGTTTGCTTGCATGCGGGATCGATGTGCGAGCACAGGGGGACATGGGCACTTATTATTTTTTTTTTTCAATTAATTTATTTTATTTTTTTTACTGTTTGTTTTTGTTTTGTTTTTTTCATCACTTTTATTGCTGTCACAAAGGAATGTAAACCTCCCTTGTGACAGAAATAGGCAGTGACAGGTACTCCTTTATGGAAAGTCTAAGTCTGTGAGACCCCAGATCCCTCTTCTGCACTTAAAAACATTCAACTCATCAAGATCGCTGTTTTTGAATACTTTTAATTTTTCTTAAAAATGGCGCCGTTTAGTTCTGAGTAAACTGGAAGTGATGTCGGGTCATCGGAGAGCCGATCAAATCTGATGCTGGCTTTGTTCAGCTGTCCGGCCAGCTGGTGGATGTGCCGGGTGGTTGCTCGGGTCTTCTGCTGGGACGGAAGATTCCGAGAGTGGCGGAAGGTGTGGGGGGGGAATCCCATCTCATGCCTTCCCGTCTCATGCCTTCCCGTCTCATGCCTTCCCGTCTCATGCCTTCCCGTCTCATGCCTTCCCGTCTCATGCCTTCCCGTCTCATGCCTTCCCGTCTCATGCCTTCCCGTCTCATGCCTTCCCGTCTCATGCCTTCCCGTCTCATGCCATCCCGTCTCATGCCATCCCGTCTCATGCCATCCCGTCTCATGCCATCCCGTCTCATGCCTTCCCGTCTCATGCCTTCCCGTCTCATGCCTTCCCGTCTCATGCCTTCCCGTCTCATGCCTTCCCGTCTCATGCCTTCCCGTCTCATGCCATTTCATGCCATTCCATCTCATCTCATCCTAGCTCATGCCATCCCATCTCATGCCAGCTCATGCCATTTCATCCCATCTCATCCCATCCCATCTCATGCCATTTCATCCCAGGTCATGCCATCTCATGCCATTTCATCCCAGCTCATGCCATCTCATGCCATTTCATCCCAGCTCATGCCATCCCATCCCATCCCATCTCATGCCAGCTCATGCCATTTCATCTCATCCCAGCTCATGCCATCTCATCCCAGCTCATGCCATCTCATCCCAGCTCATGCCATCTCATCCCAGCTCATGCCATCTCATCCCAGCTCATGCCATCTTTTCCCATCTCATGCCATCCCATCTCATCTCATCCCAGCTCATGCCATCTCATCCCATGCCATCCCATCTCATCCCATGCCATCCCATCTCATCGCTTGTGAAAGCAATTGAGCGGCTAGTTAGTCACTCTGATTGCTTTTACAAGAGAACAGCTCACCGGCTCGAACAAAAAAAAAAAAAAGTTCTGGGGCATCATCCTGGTACAACCACTTGAAGTCCAGCAATGTATGCGTACGTCGCTGGTCTGCAAGTGACTGAGTATGAGATTACTGGTATCCCGTGACCTTCTGCCAGAGAGTTAGAATATGAACCGTCTTGTCCGTTTTTGCATTGTTTTGGTTCCAGGGTGACTTATGGCATCAAGTAGTCACGATGTACCTGGCAAAGATCTGTGTGGATCAGATGACGGTAACGATACTGACTTGCCTGTATGGGTCTTTCTTCTCCCCAGAAATTGTACACAGATTTGGACGTGCTGTTCCTGTTGGATGAATGTGACACAGTTCAGGCTTATGAAAATAAAGGGAAGTCGGAGGAGCAAGAGGCCAGAGACCCTTTGATGACGGCACTCAGCAGCATGAACCGCGTCCAGCAAGTGGAGCTGATCTGCGGTAAGATACGAGGGCCTCTGCATTCATTTCAGGAGAGGCTGAGGGTTTTCGGGAAGCAGCAAGATTGGTCATAGTTACATAGTTAGTCTGGCTGCAAAAAAAACTAAAAAGTCCATCCAGTTCAACCATTAAAAAAAAAAAAAAAAGTTATAATCTTACACCCGCAGTTGATCCAGAGGAAGGCAAAAAAAAACGATGATCCAATTTGCTCCTGCAGGGAAAACAATTCCTTCCTGATCCCCCGAGAGGCAATCGGATATTCCTTGGATCAACTTTCCCTATAAATGTTATATCCAGTTATATTCTGTGTATCCAAGAAAGAATCCAGGACTTTCCTACAGCAATCCACTGAGCTGGCCACAACCAACTCTTGAGGGAGTCTATTCCGCATTCTCACAGCTCTTACTGTGAAGAAACCTTTCCGTGTTTGGAGATGACATGATTGATGATGAGTCATGATTGGCACTTCTGTACAACACGGGAAGATTTTGTTGTAGCGGATCAGGAGCTTCAGCAGGTTGCATTTGGCATCTGTTTCCTTTTTTGCTGTGTTTAGAGCAGGGTTGGCAAACTCGATGGGTCATGTGGCTGCCACAGCGGTCACATGATCAAAAAGCTCCCACTCACTACTTACCTTTCCGTGAGGCTCTGGTAAATGTGCCGGGAGCACGCAGGGTTGTGTGCTCTCTGCACATGTTTACATTGGGTGCACAAAGAGGCTGCTGAAAGGCCGCTTTGTTTGCATACTGCCGGAGCCAAGGAGTTGACATCCAAGAGAGCCTAATGCAGGCCATACATGGGTTGAATCCCAAATGATTTTTCGTCCAAAAATCGCAAATGTTCACTCGGTGATCCGATGGTGCCATGAATGATTTAGAAAATTGGCCGACCGAGTCCTAAAGTTCACCACGTATAACAGGCGGCACTTCTGCTCCTTCCAGGTCACTGCTCATTCGCAGAAACGATCGTACAATTTGACCTTCTCTGAGTCAAAAATTGGTTGTTTTTCACAATTTTCCAACATGCCCAATCACTGAAAAGGGGAGGAACCACGAAAATCGGCCGGTGCCATTGACCCACTAACAGAGGGAAAATCGGCCGTTTATTCTTGGGTCCGAATTTCGGACGAATTTTGACCCATGTATGGCCGACATTAGACACCAGGCAGGGCAAGTGACAGATTCTCTGTAAAGCTCCCTCCAACCCATTACTCACCCTGCCTGTGCTTCCTCATCGCTCCATCCTCCTCCGCAGCTATCCACAGTACCCAGTACTTCCGGGTATAGAGGAACATGTGACCTCCCTACTGTTGCCAATACTTGGGTTAAGCAGCCAATTGCGAGGCCCCGGTACTGTCACATGACCGGAGAATCTCCCCAGTTGCTAACATCAGATATTTCAGTGCCAGCTACAGAGGAGGAACAAGCTGCAAGTGATTGCAAATAGTGAGTATGGTTTGGGGGGGGGGGGGGAGGGGGGGGAGTAGTCCTGGCAGGGCGCTGTCACATTGCCCTTCTTGGCCAATCAATGGCACTGCATCTTGGAGGGGAAGAAGGTTACATGCTGCCTTATACTTACAAATACCGTGGGGGGTATTTACTAAAACTTGAACATTCTGGTGCATCTGCGCACAGTAACCAATCATCTTCCAGGTTGTATTGCCAAAGCTTCACTGAAGTTAGAAGCTGATTGGCTACAATCCAAAGTTGCTTCTGTGTGGTCCAGTTTTAGTAAATCAAACCCCCCCCCCCCCCCCCCCCGTGTATTCACCAATCTTCAAGGAGAGAGGATTGATGGGAGTGTGGTGATGGTAGGATGGGTGGGGGGGGAGAATAATTGAGAGTTGTTTCTTTTTTTTTTTTTTTTTTTGTTTTGTTTTGTGAGTTTGTGTGTGTTTTTTGTTTTTGTTTTTTTTTTTTGTTTCGTTTTTTGTTTGTTTTGTATGTGTGCTTTTTTTTTTTTTGTTTTGTGTGTGTGCGTGCTTTTTTTTTTTTTTTTTTTTTTTTTTTTTTTTGTTCCTTGTATGGACAAAGTGACTGAGGGTATATCTCCTCTTACCAGCATAGCTAAGCGTCTTAACACATGTCTGTGAAGCCGGACAGAAAGCGATGATTGCAGCTGATTGTTTTGTGTAGCTGGCTTTGTATAAGGTTTGATAAGAACTGTAGGGAAATCTTTGTAAGTCTGCGTTCTGCTATGTTTGCCCTTCTCCTTGCAGAATACAATGACCTGAAGTCCGAGCTGAGAGATTATCTGAAGAGATTTGCCGAGGAAGGGAAGGTAAGCTGGATTAAATTTACCCCCCCCCCCCCCCCGAGTGTCTGAATCCAGTGCTTGCTATAATTAAACTATCTCTGAACACTGCATGTTAAAAGCCAATAGTAATGGAGCAAATAGTGTGTTTTTTTTTTTGTTTGTTTTTTTTGTTTTGTTTTTTGTTTTTGTTTTTTTTCTCGTATCGCATTGACTCTTACTAAAAAGTGGGTCTGGTGAAGGCGGGTGGGGGGCTGAGTTTCTTTAGCAGCCAGAAGTTTGTAAGGGTTCATGTACACTGCAATTTGATAAACTGATGTTCAGGAGCTGTTCAGCGGTTTTTTTTCAGCAGCCCCTGAACCCTCCCTAATGTTCTCCTATGTGCCCGTGTACACATCGTCCTTTACAGGCAGTTGAGTTTACAGTCATTTTTTTGAATGCACCAAACTTGCGTTCAGGAGTAGATTTTATCAGCTTCTCGGCCTTTTGGCTAAGATCAAGTGTAGTATCTGTTCTTATCAGTGTCCAGTGGGGGTGCTCCCGTTCATTCTAGCTTTGCGGGGATGGCTGTTGTATAGTACCCTCACTGGTATGATGGGGGTCCGGAAGGCTAGTACCGGAGGGACAGAAACCGGGGAGCGCCATGATTCGTTCTGGGGCCTTGGGAGTAATTCCTCTGGGAAAGCTGGAAAGACCCAGTACCTCCTGGTTTGGACGGATCTACCTTGGTCTGGCCAGGGGCTGAGGAGGCAGAAAGTCCGCAAACTCAGTGCCCCCTGAGTAGACGCTCTCAGGGGTGCCACTAGTAACACCTGGGTGTGGGACCCCACTGTGTGAAGATGGCACATGGTCACTGTTTTTACACTCTTTTTGCACAGCGCCCTAAGGACCAGGCCTTTTGGCTAAGTTCAGGGCAATTTTTGCTACGGGCCTCAGGGCCTGGTCTGTGCACAATTTGGCACGGTACCACTTTTTTATTTTCTATTTATTTAATTTATTCACCTCCCACGTTTGTCACTTTTTCTGTTACTTATGTGTGTGTTTTTTTCACGGATGGAGGGTGTGGGTCCTCGGGCCTACCCTGAAGTCTAGGGGGAGGATGTGTGGCCTTTTGGTTCCTTCCTCCCCTGATCCCTAGGGGGTTTTTCTCTCCAGGAGAGCCCCCTGGCCTAGTACTGGATGTCCGGCTTCGGCTGGACATAAGGAACGGTGGTCCACCAGGCCTTTTGGCAAGGAGGACCAAATGGGAACCTTGTCCTCGTCAGGAGCTTCGTGCCCCGGGGGATCAGGGTAGCGGTCCAACCCCTTCGGGGGTAAGGACAAGCACAACCCTAAGTGCACTTTTTCGTGTGGTGTTCGCACTTGCACTTTTTTTTGTGATCACTTACGGGTTTTTCGTTGTAGTTTGCACGTTTGCGGACTTAAAAAAAAAAAAAAAAGTAGATTTTATCAGCGTTTCAAATGCTTGTAAACACGGTTAACTGCATTTATAAGCATTTAGAAGCGTTTAACTGTTCCATTTTGCAGATGCTGTCCAGAGCCTTTTTTAACCCCCTTCCAGTCCAATTTTCATCTTTCAGCGCTATCACACTTTGAATGACAATTGCGCGGTCATGCAACACTGTACCCATATGAATTTTTTAGCATTTTTTTGAGACAGATAAAACTTTATTTTGGTGGTATTTATTCACCGCTGGGATTTTTATTTTTTTTTGCTATGTAAATGAAAAAGTCCATAAATTTAGAAAAAGTGTTTTTCTTATAAAATTTTGCAAATAAATATTTCATCATAAATCTTGGCCAAAATTTCGTTATCGTTTTAGTAAAAAAAAAAAATAACCCAAATTAGTTTATAACCAAAGTATATTTTTTAAACTTTTTTTACATTTTTATTTTTTTATGTTTACATACTGTCACCCTAGCAGTACAGTGTCTACTTGTGGGGGGAGATGATTTTTTTTTTTTTTTTAAACTGATTGCTTTTACACCCATAAAGGCTGTAAAAGCAACCATTTCTCCTTCTCTCTGGCTGCGTTCCTGCAGCCATTGAGAAATACTGTGTGAGCTGTGATTGGTCACAGCTTGTCACATGGTACAAGGCTGTTGTGAATGGCCCTGTACCATGTAATCTCTGTGATCATTCACAGATTTCACAAGTAGTAAGTAATGATGTCAGAAGTGACATTCACAGATTTCACACGTAAGAAATGTCAAAAGTGACATCTTGCTTACTACTCTGCATGTGATCACTGATTGGCCAATCAGTGAACACATGATCGGGACCTCACACAGAGATCCCGTCCGACAACTGGAGGACGCAGCGGGCTCTGGATCGCGGTGCTATGTGCTCCCTGGGAGTGCGCACAAGCAGGGGGCGTGGAGGCCGTTTATAAACGGACACCTGACCCTGCACTGCCACCTTTTGGCCGTTTATATACAATGGAGGGACGGGAAGTGGTTAATATATATTTAATCTCTTCTTGAGAGAAAAACTTCAGTTCCTCTAATCTTTCCTGATCTCCTCCATGCCTCGTATCAGTTTGGTTGCCCTTCTCTGTACTTTCTCCAGTTCCCCAATGTTCTTTTTGTGAATTGCCCAAAATTGATCTGCATATTCCAGATGAGGTCTTACTAATTTGTGAACTGAAATCTCTCTTTGGTGTTTATTCCTCCTTTAAAAAAAATGTCCTGGCACAAGCGTGTGGTCAGTGAAGTCTGAGAGTGTCTCTGGACTTCAGCCTTGTTCCAGGTCATTGACTTACTAGGCGTAAATTAGTTACGATAATCCCGGATTTTGCCATTTTAGAAAGGCCAGTTGTTGAATAGAAGGTTGTATATTTCTGTCCTCCCAGGGTGTAGATGGATCCTTCGCTGTGATTTATAATGAAGGAGCCGTAAATATCTAAATATATCCTATTAACAGCTATTTCTGATGCCTGCCGGTGGGGGTTGGGGGATGCTGCTGATATGTAAATGATCCGACTTCCTACACCTGATGCATAGATTGAACGTTCTCGTTTTCTGTGTTCTTATTATGTAAATGAAAAACAGTGCGATCTGCCTGGATGTACGAATCACACAACCTGACCTAAAATAGTGCACAGCATGGTAAGACCTCTGCAGTACAAAGTGCAAGCATCCATTGCGCCCCGTTGTCTGGGTGCATAGCAAGAAGTATAATAAATTAAGTCAAAAGGGGAAAAAAAAGATAAATATTCCAAAAAAAAACCCCGCATGTTATAAAGCAGTAGTCTCCAAAGTGCGGCCCAGGGGCCGGCAGTGGCCCTTTGCTTCCGTTTTATCTGGCTTATGTGAAACTATTCCTCCTACTGAAACAAACAATGGGGGCATAATTTTTGCCATGGACGCCAACATTGGGGAACTACTCCTCCTGCGGGCGCCGGCCAGGGGGCTCTGCCGCGGGCGCCGGCCAGGGGGCTCTGCCGCTGCCATTGGACAGGGGGCTCTGCCGCCGGCCACGGGGCCCTGTTGTGGACACCAGCACGTTTTCTAATCTGACAAACCACAGTCTGACCCCTCTAAAGTCTGAAGGGCCCCTTCGTTAGAAAGTTTGGAGACCTATGCTATAAAGGATAAATTCAAATTTTTTAAAAAATAATAAATGCAGTGTTTTTTTTACCTGCAAAAAAAAAAAATGTGCATTTTATTACATTTTTTTATGAGGAGCCTGCAGAGTGTTGCAGCCACGATCAGCCAGATCACAGGTGCAATGTCAGGCTCCTGTTGGCTGTCAGTACAGCTGTCTTTCCATAAGGGACAGGCAGTTACTGAACTCCAGGAAGATCAGTGAATAAAGAGTGCTCACCAGCGCCCCCTTGCAGTTCACCACTGAGCACTACAAGCCGTCTGGCACGGTGGCAAAAGATGCTTTTAGTTCATTCACAGAACTCTGTAAATTACATGAAGTTGCTGTCTGGGTGAAGCTCCGCACGGCCGCTCTGTTTTTGAATTGTGACAGCGGGTGCAGGGAGAGGATCCCTTACCTGCTGTCACAATGGGGGATCGGGTCGCAGAGCAGGCAGGTGATTTAGTAACATGTAAATGTTGTACCCCGAATATGGGCGTACCATCTTAAAGGTGAACTTATCCTTTAATTTTCAACATCATTAGATGGATTAGAAGCTAGCTTTTGTTTTCCTTACGACTACAATCTATTGCTTTTACTGAAAGATTGTAGATTTTCTGTAAATGTGGGGTTGGTTTACTAAAACTGGAGGGTGCGATATCTGGTGCTGCTCCGCATAGAAACCAATCCGCTTCCAAGTTTTATTGCCAAAGCTTCATTGAACAAACTGAAAGGTAGAAGCTGACTGGCCGCCATGTTTTTCAGGAAGAACAAACCGCCAGATTGCTGTACAGAGTCCTGTGTGTTTTTGTAAACACAGAACTCTGTGCTGCGATTGGACACAGCCCAGGGGCGGACTGACCGTTCGAGCACTCGGGCACTGCCCGGGGTCAGTAGGGGGCCCCATGAAATGCCCCTGGTACTTGCCTGGGGGCCCTATGAGTTGTCAGTCCACCCCTGACACAGCCGATCAGCAGGTTTCAGCCATAATCATTGCTGTGTCCAATCACGTTGCGAGGAGGTGCAAGCCCATGAAAACATGGAAGACAGGCAGTGAGGTACAGTTGGGTTGCCTAGCCTGCCTGTGATGCTTGCCAGCAGTAAAACTAATGCAGGTGGGCGGCAAGTGGTTAAGTGGAGGATTTTGTGGAGGAACAAAAGGGTTCCTTAGATTAGCAGTTGTTTGTGGTGTTTGTGTTTTTTTTTTTTGTATTTTTTTCTTTTTGTTTCTTCTGCTTCCTCTTCCTCCTTCTTCCTCTTCCTCCTCTTCCTCCTTCTTCTTCTTCCTCTTCCTCCTCTTCCTCTTCCTCTCTCCTCCTCCTTCTCCTCTTCTTCCTCTTCTTCTTCTTCTTCTTCTTCCTTCTTCTTCTTCCTTCTTCTTCTTCCTTCTTCCTTCTTCTTCCTTCTTCTTCTCCTTCTTCTTCCTTCTTCTTCTCCTTCTTCCTTCTTCTTCTCCTTCTTCTTCCTTCTTCCTTCTTCTTCTTCTCCTTCTTCTTCTCCTTCTTCCTTCTTCTTCTCCTTCTTCCTTCTTCTTCTCCTTCTTCCTTCTTCTTCCTCCTTCTTCCTCTTCTTCTTCCTCCTTCTTCTTCCTCCTTCTTCCTTCTTCTTCCTCCTTCTTCCTTCTTCTTCCTCCTTCTTCTTCCTCCTTCTTCCTTCTTCTTCCTTCCTCCTTCTTCTTCTTCCTCCTTCCTCCTTCTTCTTCTTCCTCCTCTTCTTCCTTCTTCTTCTTCCTCCTTCTTCCTTCTTCTTCTTCCTCCTTCTTCCTTCTTCTTCCTCCTTCTTCTTCCTCCTCCTTCTTCTTCCCTCCTCCTCCTCCTCCTCCTTCTTCTTCTTCTTCTTCTTCCTCCTCCTCCTCCTCCTCCTCCTCCTCCTCCTCCTCCTCCTCCTCCTCCTTCTTCTTCTCCTTCCTCCTCCTCCTCCTCCTCCTCCTTCTTCCTCCTCTCCTTCCTCCTCTCCTTCCTCCTCTTCCTTTTTTTTTTTTTATTTTGTTATTTATCGAGTTTATATAGCGCCAAAGGGTTTGCTCAGCGCTGTACAATAGAGGGGGGACAATACATGAAACAGTACAGTAACATCAAACAGCACACGAGGGGGTAAGAGGGCCCTACTCTTTGGAGCTTACAATCTAGGAGGGAGGGGGTAGAGGTACAGGAGGAGATGGCTGTGGGGGATGGAGTGGTAGGAGGAGGGAAGGGCAGCGGCTGTTAGGTGAAGGTGGGGTAGGCTTCCCTGAAGAGATGGGTTTTCAGGGAGCGCCTGAAGGTGAGGAGGGAAGGTGACAGTCTGATAGATTGGGGTAGTGAGTTCCAGAGGATGGGGGAGGACCTGGAGAAGTCTTGCAGTCGTGCGTGGGAGGAGGAGACCAGGGAGCAAGATAGAAGGAGGTCCTGTGAAGAGCGAAGGGTACGGGTAGGGTGGTACCTGGGAATCAGGTCGGTGAGGTAGTCAGGGGCAGTGTTGTGAATGGCCTTATAGGTCAGGGTGAGCAATTTGAATTTAATGCGTTGGGCAATGGGGAGCCAGTGGAGGGAGAGGCAGAGGGGGGTGGCAGAGGTGGAGCGGCTGGTGAGATGGATGAGTCTGGCAGCTGAGTTCAGGATGGTCTGAAGCGGGGAGAGCCTGCACTGGGGTAGGCCGGTGAGGAGGGAGTTGCAGTAGTCAAGGCGTGAGATAATCAGGGAGTGTACGAGTAGTTTAGTGGTGTCTGGGGTAAGGAAGGAGCGTATCTTGGCGATGTTCCGGAGGTGGAGCCTGCAGGTGTTTGTAAGTGATTTGACATGAGGTTGAAAGGAAAGGTTTGAGTCCAGAATGACTCCAAGGACTTTGGCTTGCTGGGCGGGATTGATGGTGGTGTTGTTGGTAGTGATGGAGAGGATGGGGGGGGGGGGGGCGCGGGAAGGGGGAAAGACGAGAAGCTCGGTTTTTGAGAGGTTGAGTTTGAGGAAATGGAGCGACATCCAGTCAGAGATGTCGTTTAGGAGGTGAGTGATGCGGGCGGAGAATGGGGGTGAGGTGAGGGGTGGATAGGTAGATTTGAGTATCATCAGCGTAGAGGTGGTAATTGAAGCCGTGGGAGTGTATGAGTTTGCCAAGGGAGGAGGTGTAGATGGAGAAGAGAAGGGGTCCAAGGACAGAGCCCTGGGGGACCCCAACAGAGAGGGGGAGGGAAGAGGAGGTGGCACCGTTGTAGGAAACGCTGAAGGAGCGTTGGGATAGATAGGACGAGAACCAGGAGAGAGCGGTGTCTCTGATGCCAAGGGAGAGTAGTTTGTTAAGGAGGAGGGGGTGGTCAACTGTGTCAAAGGCTGCGGAGAGGTCTAGGAGAAGGAGGACAGAGTAGTCGCCTTTGGCTTTGGCGGTTAATAGATCGTTGGTGATTTTGAGGAGGGCAGTTTCGGTGGAGTGTAGGGGACGGAAGCCGGACTGTAGTGGGTCAAGGAGGTTGCTGTCAGTTAGGTGGGCGCTTAGGCGATCGTAGACCAAGCGCTCAAGGAGCTTGGAAGTGAGTAACAGCAGGGAAATTGGTCTGAGGTTGTTGAGGTCGGTGGGGGTCAAGGGAGGGCTTTTTGAGTATGGGGGTGATGTGCGCATGTTTTAGGGGGGAGGGGAAGACGCCAGTAGAGAGGGAGAGATTGAAGATGTGGGTAAGGGAGCGGATGAGGGAAGGGGGGGGGGGGGGTGACCGGAGGAGTTGAGAGGGGATAGGGTCCAGGGGGCAAGTAGTGAGGCGGGCTTCTGAGAAGACTCTGGTGACTTCCTCAGTGGTAGTAGGGCTGAAGGAGTGCAGTGATGAGGGGGTTACGGTAGGCAGGGCCTTGGGTGTGGTGGGGGGCAGTGCCGTTGCGGGGTCACAGGAGGGGAGAGATGAGGGGGTGATGGAAGGGGGGAGGCTAGATGGGGAGGTAGATTGCAGGTTGACTATGTCCTTGCGGATTGCGTCAATCTTGTTATGGAGATGAGTGGCAATCTCGTGGGCGGTAAGTGAGGTACTGAGTGGAGGAGGGGGGGGGGAGAGAGCAGGGAGTTGAAGGTGGAGAAGAGTCGGCGAGGGCAGGTGGAGAGGGTGTTGATCAGGTCAACGAAGTAGGCCTGCTTGGCGGCGTGGAGGGAGGAGGTGTAGGTGAGGAAGGCAGATTTGTAGAGGGAGAATGCATGAGGGGACCTGGTTTTGCGCCATAGTCTCTCCAGCGCACGACTGCGACGTTTGAGGCATTTAGTGTGGTCGTTCTGCCATGGTTGGAGCGGTCTGGGTTTGATGTTGCGTGTGGTTAGGGGTGCCAGAGAGTCTAGGGCAGCTGATAGTGAGTCGTTGTTATAACATTGAGGGCTGGTTCACACTATAGAAATGTAGTCTGGATTTCTTTTTTGGCGCATTCTGGTGCTGTTTTGTGTTTTTTTTTGACGCATTCCAGTGTGGGTTTTTTTTTTTTTTTTTTTCCTTTTTTTTTTTTTTTTTTTTTTTTTTTTGCATTCCAGTTAATTTTTTTTACCTTTTTTTTCTTTCCTTCAATGTAAATAGGGTCATGTGCATTACGGTATGTTTTTGATGCGTTCCAGTGCAGTTCTGTGCAGGAAAAATGCAGACTGTTCCATTTTTTTTTTTTTTTTTCTGCAACCCGGAACTGCAAGTACTGATGTGAACGATGACACTGACAGCCCTCTTAGATTGTAAGCTCCCAGGACCAGGGCCCTCCTAAGCCTCTTGTATTGAACTTTATTGTCTCCCGTTATATTGTAAAGCGCTGAGCAAATCCTGTATAATAATAATAATTATAAAAATAATTAAAAAAAAAAAAAAGTTAAATAAAAAAATAATAATATAACCTACTTTCCGTGCGTTTTGGATGCAGAAAAAAAAAAAAAGCAACTGAAACGCACGTTCGGTTTGGCCCTTGAGCGGTTTAGATTTGTTATTGTTGCTTTAGTGGGATTATTCTTTTTCTTCCCAGGTTGTACAGAGCGAAGACATTCAGAAGTTCTTCGAGGATCTGCGCTCCAAGAAGCGGAGACGGGTGGACGGCATGCAGTATTATTGCAGTTAGCTGCAGATTTCCGAAGCTCAAGCCGGAATTGTAGTCCTGTATTATTCAATAGACTCTTGATGCCCCCTCCCCCTTCTTAACATGTTGATTTTTTTTTTTGATTTTTTGTTTTTTCAGTCCATGTTTGTGGGGTTCTCCTACTAGGGGTGCCTATAAGTGCTCAGCCCCCATAGTCACCTGGAAGTCTTTTGAGTGTCATTCAGTTCCTTACTTGTCCATTCAGTCTTTGGATTATAGGATTTGCTGGGCCTCATTTATCAGGATAGGGGAACATTTTCAACAATTCTTTTTTTATGCTGTTAATGTGCTCTGTAATACTCCGGGTCCGCGCCTGGAAATAGAACTGCTTTGGTTCCCCAGTGGAAGTATGGAAAGCTCTGATTTGCTGTGGGAATTTTTTATGAGAACCCCCGTTCCTATGAGCAACATGCATGCTCTTTAATAAAACAGATTCGATGATGTAATTAAAATTGAACTCCAACCTCATGTTTTCCTAGCTGGATCCGTGAGGGATTCCCCCCTCTTTGAAGTGATTCTCCTTTGATGCCAGTTTGCTGGAGCTCAGCTTTAATTCCAAGAATAACGGACGATGATACGAAAGTGCTTTTGCCCATCCAATCTTGCAGTTCTAAAAATCGCTTAGAAAGTCATTGCATTGTGAAGAGAAGGAATTTAAGGGGGGAAGAAAAGATAGCTTGCTGTTGTGTGCCATAGGACCCCCCCCCCCCAACCTCCCTCTCTCTGTGCTCCCTACTTGTCTCCCTGTAAGCTATAGGAGCTGTGAGCGGGGATAGCTAGGAGAATGCTCAGCACACTTTGTTTCTCCGAAGCTGAGGTCTTCAAACTTTCTAAATACAAGGCCAGTGTATTGTCATTCAGATTTTAGGCGGGCCGGACTGTGGCCAGCAGGAGTGGAAATAGTTTCCAGGCATCAGTGGGAGTAAACATTACCACATTTGGTATCATTGGGTGAAATAGTGCCCCGTTGTTGGCGGCGGGAGGAGTGGTGCCCCGTTGTTGGCGTCGTCGGCGGGAGGAATGGTGCCCCGTCGTCGGCGGAAGGAATGGTGCCCCATTGTCGGCGTCGGCGGGAGGAATGGCGCTCCATTGTCGGCGGGAGGAGTGGTGCCCCATTATTGGCATCGGCGGAAGGAATGGTGTCCCATCGTTGGCAGGAGGAATAGTGCCCCATTGTTGGCGTCGGAGGAAGGAGTGGCGCCCCATTGTTGGCGTCGGCGGGAGGAATGGTGCTCCGTTGTCGGCGGGAGGAATGCCGCCCCATTGTTGGCGTCGGTGGGAGGAAATGGAGCCCCATTGTTGGCGTCAGGAATGGGGCCCCATTGTTGGCGTCAGGAATGGGGCCCCATTGTTGGCGTTCGCGGAAGGAATGGAGCCCCATTGTTGGCGGAAGGAATGGTGCCCCATTGTTGCCGTCTGCGGGAGGAATGGCGCCCCATTGTTGGTATCGGCGGAAGGAATGGTGTCCCATCGTTGGCGGGAGGAATGGTGCCCCATTGTTGCCGTGTGCGGGAGGAATGGTGCCCCATTGCTGGTGTCGGCGGGAGGAATGGTGTCCCATAGTTGGTGTGAGGAATGGTAGTATCGGTTGGCAGAACAGCGGCTCTTAGCAGTGGGAGGAATAGTGCCCCAAGGGCCAGATAAAGGCATGCACAGGGCAGCATCTGGCTCCCGGGCAGCAGTTTGAAGGTCACTGCTCTAAAGCAGCACGATATAATAAAAAACAAAAAAAACAAAACAGAGGGTGCCATTGTTAACCTTTTTTTTTTTTTTTTTTTTAAGTATATTTTTTTGTATAAAAGAGACTAAGATGAAACTTGTTCAGTTACTGAATCGGTCAGCTTGCTGAGGACTGTAGGAACAAGGAAAACCTAGACGAAGACAGAGGGTGCTCCAGCCCTTGTGCATTATCATAAGACCCTTTATTGTAGAAGAATAAAAAGTTCTGTGTGCTCACAAACATGAAGCACAAAATCAGTCTAGTCCCGATCTTTGAATGTTGCCCATCCGTAGGGGCATAGCTTGTGTCTCCCCAATGTGGTGCCCCCTTCATCCGAGCATTGGGACTGGATTGATTTTATGCTTGCAGTTTACTGGATAAGAAAAAAATCCAATGTACTCCACAAAGAAACACAAACATAAAATCATTCCTGTCCCAATGCTCTGATGAAGGGGGCACTGCCCTTGAAACATGTAAGATGCACCCCTACATGTGGGCAATGCTCAAGCATGGAGACCGAATTGATTTCATGCTTGCTAGTTGTTTACCTTTGTGAGTATATTGGATTTTATTCTGCAATAAACTGCGAGCATAAAAACCAATCCAGCCCCAATGCTTAGGCCTTGCCCATCCATAAGGGGGGTGTAGCTTACGTGTTTCAAGGCCAGTACCCCCTTCATCAGAGCATTGGGACTGGATTGATTTTATGCGTGCATGGTTTTTTTTTTTACCTTTTACGAGCGTGCGTTGGATTTTACTTCTTCTACAATAACGCACTAGGTGGATGCGCCCTCGGTCTTTGTCTTAGTTCTTGGTATATGGATTTCCCTGGCCTGAAGTCGGCAGCAAGGCCTGTATGTTGCAGAGTTCCTCATTTTCAAGTCTGGTTAGACAGAAGAGGAGCATTTTAGGGACTGGCCACTCCTGGTTGTGAGGGTCTCTTTCTCTTGTAGCGCTGATGTTTTTGGGAAGTAAAGCATGTTCTTTTTGTAAACCTTGATTTTCCTGGGAGCTATGGCGTATGACACTCGTGCTGTACCCAGAGTTCAGTGGCAGTGGTCTAGGTCTGTTATTGGACAGCATGGTGGGTATGAGCCTCTAAAGGAAAGCTGCCATTGTCCTGAGCTGCGTTCCAGTTTTGGTCCCATTTACACCGTACAGATGGGTGCAAGAGGTGGAGTCGGCTTTTATATTTCTTGGTACTGATGGAATAAAACAGTTGGTGTTGCTTATCCTTTGTTACCTCCTTGGCCAAGAACTAGTATGTGACTTTTAGACCAGCGGCGTCAATTTCATTGCGGGTTGCACCACCGTTATGGTTGCACTCAACTGGCCGGTTGTATCTTGACACTGGATGTCCAGAGAACTCCACCCCTGCCTTACGTCAGATGTCAACCGACTTCCCACCATCAGAAGTCAAGAGCCCCCCCCCACCCTCCATTACATCACAGTGCACCCCTCCCCCCCCCTTACTTTGTGCTGCTGCCGGGAAGAAGCTGGGGAGCAGAAAGTGCAGGGTCTGGAGGAGGACCAGAGAGGAGGGCTGCTGGATTCTGCTGAAGGGTGAGACCAGGGGAGGTCGGAGAAGAGGGTGTGCCTATTCCTGGCTGCACAGAGTAGCGCAGGATCTGTAGGGGGGTTCTGTCCTCTTGTTTCCATCTGCTGAGATGAGGGTGGGGGTGGAGATGAGCCTCTTCCTGGCTGCACAGAACAGTGCAGGATCTGTAGGGGGAGTTCTGTCCTCCTTGTTTCCATCTGCTGAGATGAGGGTGGGGGTGGAGTTGAGCCTCTTCCTGGCTGCACAGAGCAGTGCAGAATCTGTAGGAGGGGTTCTGTCCTCTTGTTTCCATCTGCTGAAATGAGGGTGGGGTTGGAGATGAGCCTCTTCCTGGCTGAACAGAGTAGTGCAGGATCTGTATTAGGTCTTTTGTCCTCCCTACTGCTGAGACCGTGTAGGGGTGGAAAGGAGGGGGGTGCCGCAGCTGCAGGGGAGGTGTGAGGGACACATAAGGTGGCCTGGTGGGATTCTAAGGCTGGTGTGTAAATCCGTTTCAATCAGAGGCGTCTCCAATTGGTATTCTATAGTGACAAGTGTCATCTCTGTGCTCCAAGCCATGATAGCGTGTGCAGGATCTGTAGCAGGTCTTTTGTCCTCCCTACTGCTGAGACCCTGTGGGGGTGGAAAGGATAGGGGTGCCGCAGCTTCTGTGCTCCAAGCCATGCTAGCGTGCAGCGACTCGGCATTTTTCCATGGTCTCTATAACAGATGTGTTTGGACTCCCCCCTGTGCCTGCTGAGGATACGGATAATGCCCAGGATGCAGGCCGCTTCCTCGTAACGCAGCTTCTGATACTTCAGTTTTTTGGTGTTCTGTTTATAAAAGCAGTAAGAAGACTGGCACAATGTACAACGCAGGGCTCCCATTCATTGCCCGTCTGTCCACACTAGAATGCATTCTGTGTTTTTTTTTTTTTTTTTTTTTTGTGCTTACCGATTTTAGGACCCTGTAAAATTCCTGTGTCCCCATTCCCTTCTCCACCCCTTTCCTGTCCAGTTCTGCTCACTTTTAGGGTGTGAAATGAGATTCTCTTCCCCCTAAACCTCTGTGTTCTCTCTTGTAGAGATAGGGCCCCTCCTCACGCTGGGGACGTTCCTATACAGGACAGTGTTTGCGGCTCCCCACCAGCCGGGCTGTATCAGCTTGGCCCCTGCTGCACAGATCGTTTACCTAACTTTAGAGTAACCCCCCCCCCCCATTCCAATATCTGTGCTTTATCTTGTCATTGGGACATAAATCCATTGCATCTTCTTCCCCCCCCCCCCGTACACATCATTGCAATAAAGTAGTTTCAAAACCTTTTGATTTGGGGTGATATTTGCAAGCGCTCTTTGCCTGTAAACCGGGAGTAAGCCGGTACCCTGGCGGGGTGGAGATCTACCTGAACAACATGGAAGAGATCAAAGATCACCGGGGGGGGGGGGGGGTACATCTGATAACGTAGCAAGGCTTCATTTAAATGGGGGGGGGGGGGGGGGGCAGTCTGATAACCTAGCAAGGCTTCATTTAAATGGGGGGGGGGGGGGGGGCAATCTGATAACCTAGCAAGGCTCCATTTAAATGTAAGGAAGGTTTGAAGACTCCAGGGGACAGCGGTAAAAGTGACAGCTTGCAGGGGTCAATAGTAAGTAACAGAGTGTAGGGATCGAAAGTAACGCAGAGCCCAGAGTTCAGAATTAGATCACGCACAATGCAGGGGTCAGG